AATTCAATTTATAGAAAATAGAAAATCGCGAATTTCTAAAAAGTCAGAAAATCTACGAGCATTTTATAAATATCAGAAAAAGCTCCACGATTTTCCAGATCGATTTTCTATAAACTAGAAATTAATTTCAAATTACAGTGTAGAACGATCGATAACCTACATTCTTACATTTTGATTGTTGTATATGTCATCAGTGTCAAATATTTTTTCATCGAAAAACAATATTTTTTTCCGTATTTTTAATTCTTTGTCTAGGTCAAAAAATCTTACGATAAGATCTTATACGATTCTTGTACGATTTCGTCTGATTTCGTAAGATTTTGTAAGAAACATAGACACTAATTCTTGATGTAAGATCTTATAGTGAGATTTCATAACATTTCGGAGGATTCATGTATGATTTTAATAAGATTTTATAAGATGAATTGTTTCTATGATTTTCCGTACGAATGATCTGATTTTTTGACCTGGGTAGTCAGTTTAAGCTGAGATACTGTTTTTTTCTGTTTAATCGTTATTTAACCTTTTTCATGGTTTGTGTGGATCATACTTGAATGTGAACTACCCGGTGGAGTGGATAATTTGATGGAACCTGCTGTTTTTAGCTGTTTGACTCATGACTGTACCATATCAAATGATACATTACCGTTTAAAAGCCGAAAAATTTGGCGTACATTTAACTCTTTTCGAAGGGGGGAAAGTACAGGTTTCTGTATATCTTTACTTTTTATTTTAAGAAAATGTGTAATAAAGTTCAATATACTAGTGGTAAACTGCTTCAGTAGTTAAAGTGAACACTTTGATACATCAAAAAGATTTTGAAAACTTGATTTTTTGAAAAATCTTTCTTGAAGGAAAGTTTTTGAAATACCTGTTCATGGCTCAGAAATTTATAATGGAAATTCACTGGATTTTCGCCTTTGGTAATTAATCCTTTACCTTCCCCCCTCGGTCACTGAAGGTTTGAAAACATGAAAGTTGAATTTTTTTAACAATTATTCTTCTACCAACAGGCAAGATACATCTTGGAGACGTATTGTGTGATATATATCGACGATAATGTCTACTACTGATATCAATGCCTTTCGAAAGTTTCACAAAAGCTAGGTAGATAAGAGACGGTAAGCCGTACAATGGTTACTCCATTGGCCGGGGGGGGGGGGCCGCCATAAAAGGGTTTTTTGGCATATTTGTGGTTTTTTGGTGTATTTGTATNCCCCCCCCCCCCCCCCCCCCCCCCCCCCCCCCCCCCCCCCCCCCCCCCCCCCCCCCCCCGCGGGGCGGGCGGCCCCCCCCCACGACATAAAAAGGTTTTTTCTCATATATGTTGTTTTTGCTGTATATGTAATACCTATTGACAACTGCGCACAGTTAAGTAAATAATTGACATTATTTATAAATACAAGCGTTATTTGCCATTATTAGATATACGTCGGATGGTCCCGGTCCCGGAACCAAAACTTTGTTTAGCAGGACCAGGACCAAGCCCGGATCGTCCCGCCTGTGTCTAGGCATGAATCTAACATGGATATGAGGAGAGCAGCCGCTTTCCGTCTCGATTATGGTTCCGGTCCTTCCGAAAATAAAGTTTTGGCCCTGGGACCGAGACTGAGATCGTCTCACCTATGTCTAGTAATGACAAATAGCGTTTGTATTTATAAATAATGTCAATTATTTACTTAACGATGTGTCGTTGTCAATAAGTATTACATATGTAGCAAAATCTACATGTTCGAAAAAAGTAACTATTCATGTCGTCCCCTCCAATAGCCACTGGAGTGACCAAACTACTGTGCACAAGGCACAGTATGTCTGGTCGATCTGTCCATACCAATGGCATATTGGGGAGACTAAATACTCTATTTGTGTGGTTATTTTATCAGTGGCTCTTCTGGAAGCGCTATGGAGGATAAAGGGTTAATCCAAGTATCTTTTCCGAAATGGAAGTTAAGCGAGACGATTGCGTCGGGGAATTATACTTTCAGAAACCTTAGAATCGATTGAAACATTAGTTATCGAATACACTAAGTCATAAGGTAATGATTTTTTCGAAAAGATTGAAAAACCTAGTCAGGCTTTTTTGCAAAAATGCAGTTTTAACTTGATGTGAGTGAATATTAAAAGACCTATAATTCTTTTAAGTCGATAGAACGATTTTTATGCTGAAAAAAGCCAATTTCTGTACCACATTTTAGTTCCGAGTTATTCTTAAGGGAGTCCCCTCAGAAAACTTCATTTTCATCTTACATCGGATTTTGATGAAACTTTCTACAAGTGTTGGCCACATAAAAGTATGACGACGGAATTGTTTTACCTCGCTATCTCTCTCTTACCACTCAGAAGTTTTTCAGAGTTTTTCATAAAAACCAGCGTAGCCACTCTTTTGGGAAATTTTCCTACGCTGTTGGTTTCTGTTTTGAAAAACTAAAGCTTATGGAACATAGACCGTTTTGCATCCTCTATAAAATGTCTGATTCAGAAAATTTTTCTGGGTTTGATCCCTGATTTTCTGAAGATTCAGTTTTCAGAGAACCGGTCAACAAAAGCCGAAGGGCAACTCTGATGTTCATATTTGGAATCAGCGTCGTCAATTACGTATAGTCTACTTAGTTTCATTGATCAGCAATATACAACTTGGGGCTCTTTCCTCGTGAGACACATATGCAAAACAAAAGTGTCGTAGACTCACTGCAGTCACATTGAGCAAGAAAAAAAAGCGATTTATCCACCACATACAAATTTTAGCTTTTTCTTCTTTTGCTTTCTTCTCTTCGAAGAGAACGACGACGACATCACGACAGCAACAGACACGATAATTCATATATCAATAAAGAGAGACTTTTGCATCGAGAAAATAAATTTTTTGTTTCTTGCTTACACATTGTTTCACTATACTACTCACTCGATGAAGAATATTTTTACATCACAAAAAAAAATGACACATATTCCATATTACACATTTGTTTAAGCAAATACGTTTTTTTTCATTTTCTTGTGAGTGCATGTGGGGGTTTTCTGTTTTTAAATCCTGGCAGTATACGTCATAACATAATAAATTCTGGAGGTGACTTAACTATTTAGTTAGATGAATGACGAGATATTAATAATCTACGACGTCACTAACGTACGCCTCTATTTAGATGTATAATCTCGTAAATAGAAGAAATCTAAAACTTTAATTGATCAAGAAATAATATGTATCCCTATCAAAATAATTCTCAATCCTATGGACCTGGTTATGGATCAGATCCAAATCAGCCTGCCGGCTATGGTTATCCTCCTTTTGGAGGCAACAACCCGGACACCACCTACCCTCCGATGAGTGGACCCAGTTATCCTGGCTCGCAGCCCTCAATGGCAGACTATGCCCCTCCGTTTTCTGGTGCGTATGGTGGAACACCAGTTTATCAACAAAATACACCTTACCAACCACCTTCTAACCAGCCTTATATGCAGTATGGAAGTGGTGGACCACCAATGCAACAACCTCCCTATAATTCTGGTCCGATACCACAAGGGTTTCCTCCTCAACCAGCAACACAATACGGTGGCTTGCCCGGCACATCCCATGAACCACCATATGGTGGGTACAGTGGATCGAATCCTCCATTTCCGATGAATAATAATCCATCACCATTTCAGAACCCACAAGGTTTGTATCTAACTATAACCTGAATATGTTTCAATTTTTTATTATTGTTTTAGGTTATAATACTCAGCCACATTCAATGCCAAGCGGTGTGTATCCAAATTTACCAAATCAGAATTCATACCCACCTGCATCAAATGTATGTAATACATTTTTTGTAATGTTTAACATCAAATCACATTTATTATCTTTTGAAGATGAACATCAATATGGGAATGCAACACATTCAACCACAACCATCAATTATGTTAGCCAGTTTAGAACAATATCAAGGCACAATACAGCCGTTTCCAATGTTTAATGCTGATACTGATTGTCGAGCACTAAGACAAGCTATGAAAGGAATGGGAACGAATGAAAATGTTATTATTCAGATTATTGCAAATAGATCCAACGTACAACGACAACAAATTAAACTCGAATGGAAAACACAATTCGGATCGGCAAGTATATTTTATACTCAAGAAAAATGAGAAAATCTGGTCAATAGTGTTTCGCTTGTTTAGGATTTAGTTAAAGATCTAGAAAAAGAGCTGAGTGGAACTTTTAGAGAAACAATAATGGCTCTATTTAATACCCCACATTATTATGAAGCCTGGTCATGTCACGAGGCATTGCAAGTAAATATAAACGATATCTAATTTATTGTTGTAAAAGTTGACATCTTTTGTGAGAACAATATTTTCAAAAAAGCTACATAAAAGATTCTAATTGCAGTCTTCCTGTAATGGCCGACTAAATTATCTTGATTACATAATTCGTTTCTTGCTTCGTTCTTTTAGGCTAGTAAAGAGGGTGCACTTCGAGAAATATTGTTGACACGTTCAAATGCTGAAATTCGTGCCATTGTCGATGAGTATAAACGAAGTTAGTTGCTGGACTCTGTTGATCATGATTAGACAATTATTTTATTATGTTTTCATTTTAGTATATCAGAAGGATCTAGAACATGACATTAATAATAGATTAAGTGGTGACTTTAAACGGATATTGATATCGGCTGTTCAGGTACAAAAATCAATATAACTGTTGTGAAAAAATTACAGAATTAGCGATTCTATAGATTCTTCGCTCATTCTGTAAAATCGCTAATTTTATATTTTTTCCACAACATAACCATAGACCATCGCTATAAACTTAACTTATTTCTATATCTTTATTATAATTTAGGCGAATCGTGAAGAATTGTCACCACCGCAAATTCAACAAGCAAGACAATATGGTATTGAAAGTGTTATTAATCGGTAAATATTATTGCGAGATAGATTACCTCTTGTTTCACTTCATGTCTATACTATTAGAACTTAAAAATCCACATGCGATAAAATGAATCGTCTGTTCTTTTGGCTATATGATCTAGGCTCTGACTTTTAGTGCTCGGTCTGTCTCAGCCCAGGTAAAAGGAAAAATCGATAAGCTGGCTCAACCTAGGTAAAGCGGTACATTTAGCTAGCTTGAGCTAGCTAAATGTACCGCTTTACCTAGGTTGAGCTAGCTTATCGAATTTTTCTTTTGCCTGGGAGATAACGACTGACTCAGTTTCCAAAAGTTGAATATGCTTTTATAGACTTTAGAGGTTCATTGGATTTTGTAAAGTCCTTCAGATTCATGAAAATCCAGAAGACGTTTAAGCTGTGATAATAAAGTATTTTCCGCAATAAATTTTCTTTATAACACAAGGCATCTCGAGTAAAAGTAACATATATCTTTGATCATCATAAATTTATAAGAAATTGTAAATGATCTTAAAATTTATTGTTATTACACTTGCAAAGGTCTATCGGATAATAAATTATGCTTTTGGTCACCGGTGAGATATCACGCTGCTGTTCGCTTATATAAATATTTCATGCAGTTGCCGATTTTGGTGGAAACCCAAGCAGTAAAAGAAATCGTGAAGTGGGCGCTTGCAACAACCTGATCTAATTTTTAACTCGTCAAAGCTAGGTGATGAGTTTGAATTGGGTGTTAAACGCTCAATCAAGCGCTCACTGGATCATCCGCTTGAAGCTAGCAGGTGGGTCACTTGCTCGGTGCAGCTAGCTATTTGACCCCAAAATCTACTCTTAATCAGACGCTTGAGTTGTTTTATAAGCAAGGTTTCCTTGCTTACTCTTTTTTGCCTGCGTAAACATGAATTTTTATTCGACTCTTTAATATCATGTAATTTGTTATATTGATATGATTTGTTTGTCATAGATACAGAATAAGTAAAAAATCAAAGAAAGAAAAATAACGTAGAGTATTATTACTGGTTGGCCGTATAGATAGTATGTTGTACATATGTACATTTCCCCTTGCACAACACTGTTATTGACTTATATTAAGTTAGAAAGAAGATCGATTACGTAGGTGGATAATTCAAGGCTTCGTTTACGCATATCTAACATTAAATTAAATCATGTGTCATCTCAGAAAAAGAAGAAAGAATGTCCTAGTTGACGGTCACTGCTGTCAGTGTAGGGTGCTGACAAGTGTTTTACTAGTCCGATATCTTCTCTACAGGTGACAAGCTCATGATACAGGCACCCATATCATTACGAATCATCAACGAAAGCTCTTGTCAGAAGACTAGCTAGACACAGAGTTCTTTTTGTCCAATTGCTTGAGCACACATTCGCTAACCACGTACGAGCTTTCTCAAAAGCTACGTGAATTAGCCGAAGAACCTGCATTGTGTCACAACATAGTGAATATGCAGTCGGAGGGATGACGGTAGTAAAATCTCAGATAGGCCCAGACTCACCGTGATCAGCATCAAAAATCACCGTAGAAAAACTGGCTTTAATCGGAATTTAGTTAGTTGAGAAAATTGTGTCGAAGTTCGAATGCAGTACCTTTGAAGTACTTATCAGACAGCATAAACGATGTATTTCGGGAATTTCGATGGATTTTAGTGTAACTTATCGTCTAAAACATTGATTACCTTAAGCAGTTTAATCGAACAATAGTAAGTATGACGATTGTTTTAGGGACCAAGCAAGACAAGATGCTGAAGAACTGTACCGGGCGGGAGCTGGAAAAATTGGCACGGACGAAAAAACATTTAATGCAATATTTTCTCGTCGAAGTTATTATCAATTACGAGCTATATTTGAAGAATATCAAAAGGTATTTGGGATCATAGCATCATTGACGGGCTCTTTATTTTGATCAAAATATTTAGAAACACCATAAAGACATAATGAAAGTTGTTGACAGCGAGTTTTCAGGACACATTAAAGAGGCTTACAAAACATTGAGTAAGTACGAATTAAAGAAAAATCGATACTGTTTTAATGGTCTTAACTGATTTCTTTTAGTATTATGCATTCGTGATCGTCCATGTTTTTTTGCTGATCGAATTCATCGTGCTGTAACTGGTCTAGGTACCAAAGATTCAACATTAATACGTGTAATTGTTACACGTTCAGAAATTGATTTAGTTCAAATTAAAGAACGTTATCATCAAATGTTTAAACGAAGTTTAGCGCATGCTGTTGCTTCAGATACATCGGGTGATTATAAAAGAATTTTGTTAGCAATTATCAAATAGACAAGTTTTATTCGATACACAACAAACTCATCGTTCTGGGATATATGATCTGTGTTATTTCTATTGCTTTTTGTAGATATGGATTTTATTACATATAAAGATCTGTGAGCAAGAATCTCTTATTGTGTACATCAGTACAACAAAAATACTCTTTTTAGTATACCTGCTGGTAAAATTAGTCACATTTCAATATAGGTCAATATTTTCCTGTCGTTACAGCAATGAAGGATAATATATCCAATAAATCTTTCAGAAAATTGAGTTTCAGCAAACTATGCATCTTTGAAGAAAATCATATAATCTATACTCGAGGAACAAAAGATGCATCAGCACACACTTCATCAGTGAATGAACATTATAATAAAACACGGATATTACATGAATTTGAGTTTTCACTGAGAAAATCAAAATTTTCGTGGCAGACGGTTGTGATGTGTGTATTTTACATTTTTGGCGTATTATGAGAAAGGACGGGACGGTTTCTGCAAGACAATGGCCCCGTACATTTTTGAGAAGATAACGACTGGAACTGATCAGGAACCGTTCGTTAATTGGTTTTTAATATTTCTGCGCCTTAGAAGTAGATTGTTGACTACCCTATGCTGAAATTTTTAATCATTTCTGAACATCGGTCTAAAAAGCTTGCTCGATCGTGTTTATTCATTTTCTCTGCAAGTTCGATGTTCTTAATAGAAGCTTAATACAAAACATGCGTAATTAAACGGATTTTAAAATGATCTATAGCACATCTTTTCAAACTAATGTCTTCATAGAGTTATTGGTTAAACATTATCTATGACTATTCCCTTCTCGTATATGTGACCGTCATTGAATATCATAAAATGGATATAGCTTTGTCAGCCCACTCAGACCCGAATGGTTTATACCTAGAAAATGCAGAATTGAAAGGGCTACACAATGACCTATAACACATTGTTTTAAAAGTTTGCCTACATAGATGTATTGGACAAATACTAAGTATCTCGATTTTTTTCCTGTAGTAGCACATAAATATGATTATAGTTTCCTCTACAGACAGAGATTAGGCATAGTTTGTATATAGAAAAATGCAGAATTGAAAGGACACTTAAAAGAGCTAATGAACTATAACACATTCTTTCATATCGTAAGTTTGGCAGACTTATGGGCAAAATCGTGAATGGATGCAGTGATTTTGACCTGTTGTAGAAGAGTTAGTGAACTATAGTGCTGTAAACAAAATCAGACCCAGAATGGTTATGATATAAAAAAATGCAGAATTTAACGAGCTTCAAATTGAAATACATTAGATTTTTTAAAAAGTATACCGTCCAGCAATCATATTCTGAACAGTATATGACTATTCCGACTTTTATTTATGGCAGTTCTCAAAACTATTGAACCATGTGTATTTTCAGTTTTTCTCTTCGAAGATAATAGCTACTATATTTTTATAAGACATTGTAAATGATCTTAAAATTTATTGTTATTCCACTTGTAACACTAATCATATTAATTGCCTGTAACTGTTCAATAGTACATTATGATCTATATATATCGATAATAGTAAAGCTGAATGTGACATACATCAATCACGCAGATCTTGAAGCGAAAAGGCAGAAGGACGATCTTTTGTACGATAATATATGACTAAACTTTTCAGTTGTTATGAAGTTCTTCCAGAATGAGTAATTGATACCGCTCGACGCGTTTGCGTTTCTGTGGCCACATATGTTATTACATTTTCTCGAATAGGAGAAGGTGGTCTTGTTGTCGATGCTCTTTCAGTATGACTGTATCCACCAGACCTTGACATTTAAACCGATTCGTCTACATTGCTTTTTTGTATTGTTTGCAGTTGAATATCACATGATCGAAATTTCTTGTATGAAGCACACTGCTATGTATGAGCGAATCGTAACTTTTTTGTACAACTGGAGGACGAAAATGAAAGTGACTTTTAAAAAGATCTGAAGCGTACATTTTGTTCGCCATAGTTTACTGGGTCTACTGTAAAAATTTCCCAACGATT